CTCTCCGTTGTTGATTCTCCTCTCTCTATCCCTCATCCTGGGTGAACTAGCTCACGGAATTTCAGTACTAAAAACTAAATATAAAATGCATTTGATGGTCTCATTTATTTTGGAGAACTAAAGGTACACTCGAGCCGTATCTCTCTTGTCCAGACCTTGAAGTTATAACTACATACTCCTCGGCCTACCAGGCAGCATTTTGGTTCTAAACTTCCAGGGAAACAGTAGAAAAGGTATGTCAAAATCATCAGCAAAGTGCGTTGAATATATTCACTCGTATTTGACAACCAGTCCATTCACACCTGTTATATTTTCTTTGTGCTTAACACGTTTAGCGACTGGCGATATAAAATCCATATGCGAAAGGAGCACAGCCCGCATCCTGAAGGTTGTAGTCTGTGGGGTGGTCCCAGAGGGGATTGGGCACTGTGTTGGAAAGAGTTCTTATTATCAAACCCCACTTGACTGTGTCTTGGCTTCCCCTGACTGTTTGCCTTTGATTTTAAGTCTATCTCCTTCCCATTTCAATTAGTCACTGTGCCTGCTTGTGTTTTGGTCTGGACCTCGTCAGGTACACTGCGGCCAGATCTAATTGAAAGTGCATCAGCTATGGCATCAGGCAAAGCGGATGCTATCAAGACACATCACAATGACACGGCCTTGGTCCGGGAACTGAGGAAAAAGGTACGACAGTTGCCATGTTATGAATATATAGGCAAGATAGTAAAGTTGCTGTCTGATGATCGGTTAAAACCGTGAAACTCAGAGTTACAGCAGAATCGCTTTCGATTCCTCTCAAGTGTGTGTAGATAAGGTATATAGACATGGGGCTACTGAAGAGCCCAAGAGAAAACCAGCTTTGTTGATGCATGACACAGTGTTGCCACATCATTATAGCCAAATATCAGTAGACTGAAAAAATAAAAATGCATCATCCGGGGGCTTCACCCCCGGACCCCCCCCCCCCCCCCCTTCATAGTATCCCCGATATACCGTAGAATCCAGCGGATAAACCCACCCGCGCATAAGCCTAGGCCAAGGTCGAACATCGCCAAGCTTTGTTGTACAAACCCACCAGCGGGATTCTACAGTGCACACGGCTCAGGCTGAGTTTGCCGATTTCCCCAGACAGCTGATGTTTGCATTGTAGGAGAGAGCTATGGAAACACTCGTAATGAGCAGTAAAAGCCAAAATTCTGGACCATGACTTCTAAACCTTGCACAAAGGTCAAATTTGGACACTTTCACGGCTGTTGTCGGCAGGAGACGGTCAATTGTCGGCAGGTCGTGACAGCCCTCAAAAATCGGCAGGCTACTGACATGTCGGCAGGTGTGGCAACACAGATGACACGACTCTTTTTTTTGTGAATTACACTGGGACAGGCCGGTCCCCAATCCCGGTGTGTGTCTGGTTTAGCACTACATTGTATCAGGAGGACATCATCCCCCTAGAGTGTATAACTCTATCTGACTTCGCTGCACGCCCAGCCTGTAAATATGGTTATTTTCTGCCTTTGCACTACAACAGGGTCGTGTTGTGGAACCTCTGCGGGACTTTCACAAGGATGAGGTACGGGCACTTGGCAAGGAACTTGGCTTACCTGAAGATATTGTGGAACGTCATCCATTCCCCGGTAAGGGATGAACAACGTTAGTCCACTTCCAACTGGTGTAACTGTGTTGATATTCACTCTTTGAGTAGGGATGCCTTCCATTAGCATGCTGTTTGATGATGGGTTTTCCCGCGTACCGGAAAGTGCCGGAAAGCCGGTAGTAGTAGAGACCTTTCATTAGAGCACTGCTTGATGTACAATTACTCTTTAATGAATCAGAAACCCAGCGTCACACACATGTGCCCCCATTCGAGTACCGCCTGATGTACTCTCTGGCGAGCCATAAAACCAGAGTTGGTGGGATATGTGCACTATCCTTGCAATGCCAAGCTCATTGAGAGAAGGTGTCTCTAACACGGTGCACTTCCTGTGTGCTCAGCATTGCCTAGGCCACGTTTACCTTCCAATCTCGCCAGCATTTCTGGGTACAGGGCCTTTACTAGTATGCATGTCAGTGCAGTGTAGGAGGGAAGCAACACTTTCATACTCGCTTTTTCAAGTGGAACCGAGCTTGGCTAAGCTGCGGTCACAGCAAGCAAGTAGTGTTTGGCATGTTATGTGCTGAAAATGACCTGTACTAACCAGTGCAAGTAATCAGCCACACCATGGGCATCAGGGTCAGGAGGTTTGCTCTAGAACAAGTGCACCTTGATACGAGCACACCTTGAACTACAGCTCAGCGAGTGTACAGTCCATATTATGCCAAAAAAACGGTAGGAAAAAGTATGGTGTGACTCTTGCAGCCGTTGAAAATGGCTGAGAGCCGAAACTTTAGCAGTGTCTGTGGAATACAAGCACTTTTTCGGCTGAACGGCTGAATTGCTTGGTGTGACGACAGACTTGCCCTTGCTACTTTCACCTTATTTCCTCCTTTCTGAACAAGTGAACATACCGATGGACATGGGCGATGATCAAGAAAGGGGTGGTGTGTTGCGGAAGAGGTGATTTATGATGGTGTTTTGTTTGATTTACAATGTCACCCATGTTACATACTGTTATTGTTCTTGTTATTGTCGTCGTCGTCATTGTTGTTCTGCATTGGGTCCTTGTGGGCGCTAGGTCCCGGCCTGGCTATCCGTGTCCTTTGCGCTCGTGAGCCTTACACCAGTCCTCAATTTGATCGCACGGAGGGTATGCTGTCAGCTATTGTCAACTATTCTAGTTTGACATCTTCGGAGGTGAGCTTGTTGGTGTATTAAGAGCTATATTCCTTATTTGTCTGACGGGCTTTGTGTTCAGTGTGGTTTTCTGTTGTTGTGGAAGCTGTTGATAGTGCTAATACAGGTGGAATCCTGATAATTCGAACCCCGGATGCCAGGAAAAACTTCTAATTATCCAAAACTGTACCCACAACACATTATGTATATCAAAATGCTCGCATTGACACGCAGAGTTGCACTACGCTCCTTATACACAGATTTAGTGGACACTGACTGCCTGTGCATGCAAACCAAACTGATTTGCAGAAAATAAAGTGAACTTCTAATTATGCTTTGCAAACTTCGAATTATCAGCACAAATCCCACACATTTTCTATGTAAGTGGATTCCGTGGGACTTCTATTTACTAGTAATCAGAAATACCCAGTTCAAGGTTCGAATTATCATCCATGTCCTGGTCGGCTCATGTAGATTACATTTGTAATAAAGTCAGCCGTGCTCTTGGCTATATTAAAAGTCATTGTAAACATCTCTCTATTCCGTGCCGTTCCGCTATATATAAAATTTATCTCCTTCCATTGTTTGAATATGCTGCCACAGCCTGGTGTGGCCTAGCTAAGGTCTTATCCGATTCCATTGAAGTTCATCATAAGAAAGTTCTAAAAATTTTGTTCTCGAAGAACCCTTCCTTTCCCTCCAATGAGTTGTACTTATTAGCTCAGACTACTCCGTTAGAGCAACGCCGACTAACTTGCCTCTGTATATTGGTTCATCGAATGCTCTTGGGTTGTGTTCCTGAACATATACTTCGAAGTAAAGCCTTAACTGGTTTGTTTCGGGCCGCTCAACCAGAAACAAAGTGTCTCTTCCCAAGGCCAAGTCAACGCAATTCACAAGATCGCCATTCTTCCAGGGCTACTGTGCATGGCTACAACTTCCCGTCTCAGTGAAGACTTCTGCATCATTGAAAGAATTTAAAGTGAATCTGAGGGCCTGCTGATGACTGAGTGCACCATAATAATAATAATACTTGCAAGTAAAAACTAATCAATATAGCTTTTCGGCTGTTTCCTTTTCATGTATATAATCTTCTCCTTCTTTTACCATGGTTGGCTATCACCCACATCTTCCCGTTTTGGCTGACATCGGAAGACATAAGACGTTGAATAAATAAATAATTAAATCAGAAATTGTTATGTGGAAATCGTATTGATAGATATCGGTCCCGGAAGAAACTTCTAATGCTGCTCCATCAAGTTTCTTAGCTCCGGGTCCAAGTGTAAATCTGAATGCCATTTGCCATGTCCCCGTCCTTGCTCAATCTACATTGTACATGAGATTGCACAAAGGTAGAACAACAGGGACCAAACATCTTTCTCGTAACGCAGAGTTTCGTGTTCATAAACACTCATCAGACGATGTTTTATGAACACGAAACTCTGAGTTACGAGAAAGATATTTGGTCTGTTGTTCTGCCTTTGTGTAGTACGCTCTGCCCATTTTGAGGTATTGAGCACTATTTGCAGCAAGGACTCCAGACACTTTGTACATGATATTGTATATTTGTGTGTGCACTCCAGGCATTGACCACTGATCAACGTGATTTGCTATCACACGTGGAGTCTACAACAACGCAAGATGAACGCGATCGCCTGAAGGATATCACCGCTGCTTCCAATCTATCTTCTCTCCTCTTACCCATTCGAACAGTTGGAGTTCAGGTATGTGAGTGTGGTCCGTAAGGGTTTGGTACTGTTTGTGGTCTAATAACGTTGCTTTAAATCTGTCACGCTCATTGTAATTTGAACGAAGCTGGTACAAATAGAGTCCACCACATGTCATGACGAAAGGGAGGCAGGTCTCAACACTGCATCCTAGATGAATAGTGTGGGTAGGTTAACTGTGAAATCAGGGATGTATATTGAGCACTTTCAAGGTGAAACGATAGAAGCCCCAACCTGCCCCCGCCGCATATTTGGCTACGGTAGATCTTATCAACTCCCTCTTCCACTTCAGGAGCTGTGCCTTGATCTGAAGTGTTCCGGATGCGGAAGAGTCAATTTGTGTCACTCTCATACCAGCCATGAAATTTAGTATTTAAATAATAAAACCATTTTAGAAAAGACCAGGCGAGTGGTGGCAGCCAAGCGTGATCATCCTCCTTGCAACACGATCTGTGCTCATCTACTCCACTCCTTGTTTCCTCCTACCAAGTACTCTGTTTGCAGATGTAATCATGTCTCTGTTAGCAGCGAGTGTGGGGATACGACTGCATGTGCTTGAGCCTGGTCACTGTAGTTAGTGTCAAACATGTTGGTTGGTTTTGATTGTATGTGTGCCAGGTGACAATACAGCTAGACCATGCTTGCTGCTTAGAGCACCGGTATGTGAGTGTAGACAATAGAGAGGTTCTGCATAACGTAATTACGTTAGTAAAAAACGTAGTCGATCTACGGAAAGTCTTACGTAAACTGCTTGCGCATCTGGGTTCCGCCATACGGAGTTTTCAAATCACGTAGCTGCCCTTGGCAACTCCGAACGCGGCAGTGTACGACCAGATCGACCTGGGGAGAGAGTCATAAATTTGTACCCCAATCCACTTACGGACCAGCTACGTTATCAGAGCCCTATCTACGTACTCTCCGTAGACAACTTTCCGTAAGTGGAGTGCAAACTCGCGAATTCACGGGTTTTTCCCGCCCACTAACGTAAAGTAGCTCAACTTTACGTAGTGCGGAACCTCTCTAATACTTCATTGTTCAGAAGAGAACAAAATAAATGCAGTGTCGCTGTCAACAGATAGCAGTGCAGCTCCCTTGCTTCAAAGTAATTATTAAATTAATGGTTTTGCTGTGTACCTCTACTTTGTGCAGGGTGATTGTCGTACGTACAGCTTTGTTGCTGCTCTATCTTCTGATGAGGCACCCGCATGGACATCGTTAATGTGGCTTGCAAAGCTTATTCCAAGAATTTGCCATTCTGTAAACCGGTAAGGAATTTCGTTTTTGATTTCCACAGCTCTTGTTTTCCTTTTCTTTGTGCCTGAAAAAAGTCTGCAACGTGCTGTACTTTGTGACGAATGCTGCATCCTCGTATTTTCTTTTCATACTTGTGTGCCCAGTGTGTGCCACGTGTTTGGGAAGTGCTCTACACAGCCAGTGAGAACGATTACTCCAACCTACCTCACAACTCCCAACCTGGATCTGCTGCGTGAGGCAGACCATGCAGCGCAGAGTACATTGCTTCAAGCAGGTATGTGCGTCTGTTTGATCACATGGGCAAGCCATGTGCTGAGTTGGCACCCGAGTGTTCACTACTCAGCTGCACAGTGTTGTTCACTATTGATTTGCTCTAGTGTTGTACCGTATCTTCTGGGGTATAGGCTGCACTTCTATTTCTCAAACATTAGCCAGTAATTCAAGTGACAATTTGCTGTTGCTCTTCTTTTAGTATTTCTAGATGTACAGAACTGCTCGATGAAATCCAGTCGCGTCACTCAAGTACGCGCCGGGCGTTGCGCAGCCATAGACCTGTGAACACTGGGCTGCGGAATGCATGCAAGGCGCAAACTTGAGTGAAGTGACTGGATTTCATTGAGCAGCACTCTATTTGCTATCCCATTTGGACTACTACAATATACCTACTTCGAAGTACAATAGGTTTACTGTGTATCCTTGTTTGGCAGGAGTCTTCTTTTCTGATCAATGGACCCATTGCGCAATGACGTAAAAACACCCTTCACAGCCAAATATGGAATGCATGAGTAATGCTTGTGAGTATGCTGGGATCAGGAGTGCACTGTTCAACACCCCAGACGACGACCCCCCCCCCCCCCCCCTCAGGTGGCTGTGAAGGGTGTTTATGGTACAAATTACGTCATTGCGCAATGGGTCCATTAATGGTGTGTAATCGTTAGTCTCTGTGTCAGTATCCTTACTTCACCTCTTGTCCATGCTGCATTTGCTGTGTTTGCTACCAACAGGACTTACTCGCTCCATCAGTCAGATGCCTGTCGTTCTGATTCCGGTTCATTTCGACCGGGCTGACGGTCAAGAGTCCGTGCAGAGATCGATTGTTATCCGGACGTTCATCACCAATGACTTTATGACCGGCATACCTGCGACACCAGGACAACAGCTTCCCACTCAGGTTAGTGGTTAGTTATCGTACACAAGTCCTTGACGTGCTGTGTGAATTTCCTTTGTTAAGTCATGGGGAATACCAGGTAATCATTGCCAGGATTGCTTTTCCTTCGTGCTGCATCGATGTCTTTATGGGCGATGTGTTCATTTTGTAGCTCAGGCACATGTCAATAGTGTCCATGCTGGATGACAAGTGGTATCGCTCTCTATTCACTAAGGTTCTATTCTGCATGTTCCGTTGCACTCACACTGTGTGTTTTGCTTTTCAGGTCCTGGATAATATGGTCGAACAGATTTCCGCGCTGGAAGGAATTTCCCGAGTGCTATTCGACCTGACGGCCAAACCACCAGGTACCACCGAATGGGAATGAAAACATGTTCTAAACAGGCATGTTGTAGCTTCTTTCCCATTCATTCTTCAAAGGACTTGATAATAGCTGGGAGAAGAATTTAAATCTCCAGGATCGAAGTTCTTCATCGCCGGTCATACCCTTTGGGCACACTCTTCAGTGTCCATTACAGTCAATGGTTCTCTCATCTCTCTCTCTCTCTCTCTCCATGAAACCGAGTTTCTGTCATACCAAATTTAGTGGATCATACAACTATTGCATTGTAACTTTTTTCAAGAAGAGATCCTTATAGAGTGTGTGTGTGTGTGTGTGTGTGTGTGTGTGTGTGTGTGTGTGTGTGTGTGTGTGTGTGTGTGTGTGTGTGTGTGTCTGTGTGTCTGTGTCTGTGTCTGTGTGTTTGGTATATTCATGTTTCTCTTTTAGCCAGACAAATACAATCACTATATCGACTGACTGCATTCATTATTGCTATGGCGTGCCATTATTGTGGCAATAAGGGAATAATAGACCACTTGCCATTTGTACAGGTCCACGAAATCCCGTAGACCCGGAAGGGTGTTGAATGTGTGCTATGCATGCGCATTTGACCAATTTTCGCGTCATAATTCAATGACCAGCAATCGCTTTTCCAGCTTCTTTTGAGGCCCCATTTCTTAGTGGAAATAGCAGAAAACACAATACAGTCCTGCACATTCAACACCCTTCCGGGTCTACGGGATTTCGTGGATCTGTAGTACAAATGGCAAGTGGTCCATTGAGCCGGGCAGTTCCAGGTTGGAATGTGGCGAAACTGTGATCGTTTACACTGATCCTGATCCAGATCCATAACATGCACTCAATTTGAAATGATCAATGTGGTTGGATCTGGATATATCAGGTTCAGATCTGCTGAATTAGGCCGAATTAGGCTAAAACATGTTAATTCGACCGGAAACGGGCTTTGGACGTGCACGGAGGAGTGTTTTGAAATTCAGACGCCCTTCGGTCTCAGGGCATGGATACGAGAGAGTAGGGTGTACTGTGCTGTTGACGGTTGTGCTCAAGAGTAAAGCGGAATTCACAGAAGCTTTTCTGAGATGCGACACGATCTTTGATGGCGACGTGCGATGCGAACTCGCGAAATGCTTTTCACAGAAGAAGTCAGCGATTCGACGTCGCCTTGCGCGCGAAGTTCAATACAGAGGAGTACGTCACCATGGTGTTCACGCGGCTTGGTACAACTTTTACAAGTCTACAAGCAACTCTTGAACCTTCGTACAACTTTGCTGCGGAAAAGGTCGAAATTGTATGCCGCATCGCTTGTCGCGTCACGAAATTGAGCCAAGCTCAACTTCTATGATTGCCCAGTTGTGACAGTTGCATGGGCTGTGAGATTGATGAGATTTGGGATTTCCCAGTTTCGCGGCCGTCGCATCGCGCATCACATCGCAAAAATGCTTCTGTGAAGCACGTCCCAATGAGGTCCTTGTACCAGGACTAAGGGCAAAGGTCCCATTGTCCAGGAATGTCAAAGCCGTGCCAGCTCAGCTGAGGACACGGTGTGCTTGAGTGACCCGGTGTAGCCCTCAACGTTACTTACCCATTTGTCCTATGAACTACAATCTAATCTGATGGCATGGAACCCTGTTGGTACGGGTACAACGACTACGATACCATCAAGAGTCCATAACCTAGGGTTATGGACTCTTGATACCATGTACATGTAAGACCCACAGGGGCGTCGGAAGGTATCTTAGTGTGGTACGGTCAGCCATCTGAAGTACAATTGACTCGTGGGGGAGTGGTGGCTGAGACGAAAATTTTGGAATTTTATACCCCAGACCAGTGTATTTTGTTGACTCACGGGTATCTGGGGCAAAAAATGGTACGGTCAATACCGTAGTGACCGTACCGTGTGCGACGCCCCTGACCCATGATTCAGAAACTGGTGAAGTTTGACTGGCGGTCCCCGAAAAGAAGTGTTCACGATTTGGCTGCACCTTACTTGTGCAAGGTGCCTGTGGTTGATTGACACTGACTGTGCCTGGAAATGGGAGATCTGGATAGAAGAGGATCTATTCTTGTAATGCAAAGTTACTATGTGGAGAACACGCAGGTTAGACCTGTGACTAGTGTTCACTGTTTAGCCGTGTCTGGATGCGTACCAGAACTGGCAGAAGGTCCAGAACACAATAAACAGTCATGTTCTGGACTGCTTACAGGGAGTCTTAAAATACCGGTATTTTACGACTCCCCGCTTGCTAAGATCACATGCACCGTGGCGTTGGCGTTGGTGCCTGTCGCGCGGTACGTGGTGTTGAACCAACGGTTACCAACTGTAACCAAGGCTAGTCTAGTAGTCGTTGCATGCATAAAACTGGGAAAAAAAGATCGACATGTCTGCTGGTGGTGGTGGCGGTTTCTTGTTGAATTTTCAAAAAAAGCCTCTTGATCTTGTACTACGATCGTCTTGTTCCAGGGCGCCTGGTCAGGTTGAGCGAGACTCGAGGAGTTACTTTCGTTCAGCGGCGCTGGTGATCGAGTGAGGGTCAGCTACGTTTGGCTTTTGTTTGAAGAAATAGGTGAGCAATGGCATCAGGAGCGCGTTCATCCATGGCGGGTGCCCATCCAGTGGGTACCAAAGTGCTGGCCCTTTGGCCAGGCAGTGGCCTGTATTACCCAGGCACTGTTGTTCGCCAGCACTCAGGTGCTCGCTACGATGTAGAGTTTGAGGACTCTTCGACCTTCTTGCTGCCAGCGAATAACCTCATGTTGCCGAATGTAAGTACTTGTGCCTCAGAGTCATATTTTTATTTCAGTGGCAATTGGCACCTGGTTTTTGTTGACGATTTCTGAGACATCTGCAAATGGCGTGATGCAGCAGATCAACACCCGCCCAACACAATCAAAGTAAAACTATTCAAGGCTTGAATGAGCACACCCGGATTTGTCGATCAGGATGACTCAGAAAGCGTACTGCGCTCAGAGCTAACTTTCTTTCAGTGTCGATCTCGCTCTGCTGGACTAACTCCCTGGTCGGCTGTGTTTGTGTGTGTGTGTGTGTGTGTGTGTGTGCTATCACGCTGATACTGTGATAGTCAAGGCGAGGTGGAAGGTCGCCATCACGTTCTAGGTCCCGCTCACCATCTCGTCGCCGCAGATCTAGATCCAGATCACCAGCTCGCCGCACCGGCAAAAGTCCGACACGCGCAGGCAAGTCACCGAAGAGACCAGTCGCGTCCGCGTCCACCTTATCGTCGGAGAATGACACCGTTGACTCGTTAGTCGAGAGCTCCCCTGTGTTGGACCGTCGGACACCTCGACGCTCTACCCGTGGCCGACCAGCAGTGGACGAGTCCGTGGAACAAAAAAATTCGACTTCCCTTTCGTTCAGCCAAACTCGGACTGGTGGAGCTGTGAGTGACTCAGTGCAAACAGTCACGAGCCCTGCACTATCACCTGCTCTCAGTACTGCGGACAGCGGTAGCGCCGCGATGGGCAGCGACGCACCCAGTACAACCACCACTGATGGAGGAGCCAGCTCACAGGCAGCTGGAACCGAGCTCAACAAGAAGACCACGAACTTCGAGTTTGGTGGCCCCATGGGAGCTCTGTTTACCATGATCAGTTTGCCGCTGGTGATTATGGCACTGTACGGTGTGTGTAATCCAAGCACGTGCTCTGTTGCCGATCTGGGGATGGCCAAGATCCCAGCATTGTGGTCGCTCTTCAGTTGGAAAGCGCTGATGATCGTAGACGTTTGGCTGGCGTTCCATGCCTTTCTCTACTGCTTGGACATCGGATGGGTAAGTTACGGGCTTATTGCCGCCTACACCATACCCGTATACCATGGTATACAGTTGTGGCTAGGGAGTCGTAGAATTCCTGATGAATATATCAGACCCAAGGGCACATGGCCCTAGCTAGAACTACAAGTGACACTGGCCCTTGGTTGTGCACTGAGGTCGCATCTCACTTACCACTGTCGTAAATGTGTGCTTGCACTGGGCCCGGGATGATGTCACTTGGTATGCATAATATTTTCAGTGCTGCCAAACCGTCCAATTGTTCGGACAGTGTCCGATCTTTGAAGGCTCTTCCGAAAACCGGTCCGAAAAGGAAACGTCTGAAAAGCAGCCCGAAATGTCAGGGATCCGTACTTTCCTACGCCGAAGTCCTGTATTTTCACTTTTCAGCGCAACAAGCCGTGAAAGCACAAACCAATGTACAGCTTCTAAAAAGGCTAGCGCTGGGCCGGGGAAGTGCAAAGTAACACGCCTGGATGGCATGTACACTGTACAGTGTGTGACCACACTCATGCATTACAAAATGCATGACAACTGCTAACTAACTTCGGGGTGCCATTTCGGTTACCATGGCAACGAGGTGAATTTTCTTGGTATTTTGGGTGATATTTTGAATTCTGTGGAAAAATTTGCGAAGAAAAATTCGTACCATGTGGCCAACCTTGGCGGTCAAAGTGTCCGATTTGGGGCAAAAATTATTTGGCAGCACTGTATTCTGATGATGCCGCATGGTAGGGACATGATTTGGCGATGACTGCTTCACACGCTGTTACTGCATGCTCATCGCCAATGTGGTGCCCTGCCTGCATGGCGGTGAGGGTGGTGAGTTGTCATGAGAATGTGCCATACTTACCCTCTTTTAGTATCCTACCATCCACTGATGCAGTGCATCACCGTGCTATAACAATGAACAGGGAGTGTTACAATGGACATGCATATACATGTATGTACGAGCTCCGAAGTAGAAGCCGTTGTTTATGCCGGTATTCGTGCATTCTCGCTTTGCTCGTGCACTGTGCAGGTGCAATGGGGACAGCCATTGCGCGATGGAAGCAAACTACCTTATCGTATCAGTGGTAAGCACCTGTGGGTACAATCAGACCCTGCCCAGCTGTACACAGCCTAAGTTGCACCTGAGATATCCACTCTATCATGGGATATAATGTTACGTGTAACTGATATTGCCGCCTTATTAGAGACGTTAAAAGATGCACGTTATTTCTGACGTGCAATTTCACGTCAAATTCAGCGTAAAACTCCAAAGTTCGACGTGAGCTGCAGGTCACTCGCTTTGTTTTTCGACACGCGAGCCAAATAACGCGAGCTGAACTTTCGCGTCACGTCAGAAATAGCGTGCATCTTAACCTCTCTAATGTTGTACTCAAGTTACTCGCGATTTCCGCCGGTTGGCTAGGAACTAGATAGGACCAGACATGCATGCGAGTAGGCCTCCGCGGAATATGCCGGCATAATTTCGGGAATTATCGGTGTGATTTTTAAAACGGGAATTATTGGCAATTTTTGTGGAATAATCGGTAAAATTTGAGCAATGCCCCCCTTTTTTCATTTTTTTTCCATTTTAACACCCTGATTTGTACCAAAAAGCTTGTGATCCTGAATGAGTTGATCGCCCGGTATTTCAAAAGAGAAAGAAAAAAAAGCTTCCAGCCGAGTTTCACGCGAACCGTGATTTTTTTGCCCGTACAAGTGGCAAAAAAACCCCGTAAGCGGTACGGTATCTGCAAAAAGGGAAGAAAAAAAGCATTATTGTGAGAATTATTGGTGGAATTACGGGAATTATCGGACGTAATTTTGAGCAATGCTCAAAGGAATTATCGGTAAAAATACGAGCATATTCCGCGGAGGCCTACATGCGAGGCAGGGAGTCGTAGCACCCGACTGCATGCGGTGTTCTCCGATGATCCGGAGTTGATTACGAGCACACACACACACACACACACACACACACACACACACACACACACACACACTACTACTACTATAGCATGACTGCCCATTGGGCAATGTCACCCCCGGAGGGGGCCAGAGTTTGGAGTGCACCGTCATTGGCAGGACTTCTGGTGCCTCGTCAAATCTTGCTGTCGTCGGAAACGTTTCGGGCAATGCATGCAGATCAGCGGCAGTGATTCCCTATCGGCTGCAGCAAGACGTTTTCCACGGTTGCAGTTATGGCGGTTAAAACCAGCCCGGGACTTGAAGCAGCGATTGCAGCGTTGACAATGCTGGAAGCAGCAACTAGCGAGAGACGCCGTCAATGCCGTATCTGCATGTTCAGGGAGTGCAGGCTGGCAGCGATGAACTGCAAGCCCACCCTTACTACGGAACCATCGGCAGCAACTGACGCACTGTGCTGAACCACGCTGTTGGTGGACGGGAAGTTGGCGCTCAGCCAAACACTTGTGCCGTGCCTTGTCTTGAGGACGAGAGAAAGCCCGGTTGCAAGATGAGCAGAGTACGGATTTCTCTACTGCCCGAGGAGGCTGAAAAACCAGAACCTGCTCTCGCCAAGCTGACCGGTCTTGTGCGCAATCAAACCAGTTTGGAATGGACTTCGTGTCAGTAGCCACAACGTCTCTCCACCTACGCCTGGGACCGCAGAAGGGGCGCGCAGCCAACAAACGACCAAACAACAGCTGCAATGGGACACGGTCCTCCGACATCCGAGCCACATGACCAAGCCACTCTAAACGACGATGGCGCATCTTAACAGAGAGTGGCACTGGGTCACCCCAGTGACGACGTAACTGCGCAGACGTGATGCGATCGGATTGCTGCTGACTGCGAGGGATGGCTAATATTGTGCGGATGCAGCGATGATGAAAGGCATCCCCACACACATACACACACACACACACACACACACACACACATACACACACACACACACATACACACACACACACAGTACACCAGCTGTACAGTATAAACAGTACACCAGCTGTACAGTATAATGTGTGTGCGTTACTGTTTATTTTTATCCTCTATTCTGCAGCACTCCAAACATTCGTGATCACTTGCGTCGTTTTCTTGGGCAGTGTGTTCTATGGAGATCGTGTACACTTGCGTATCAACCCTGTGTACGTTTATGAGAACTACCTGCAGCTGGCTTTTGCTGCGACCATGGTATCGTTGGTACTCTCCATCTTCCTCTATGCTTATTCATTCCGGCAAGGAGCTATGTGTGCTGAAGGAGGAAATACCGGTAAGACAAGTGATTTGATGAAATCCGACCGCCTCGTAGATTGTACCGCCGAAGTAGCACCTCCCTTGCTCTGTATGGGGTTTTGTTGGTACACTTTTGTGGTGTCGGTACATGTCAAGCTCTCCTCCCCCTCTCCGTACTTTTGCACATGTACATGTAGAGCTGCTGTTTATATAGCAACTGGTGACTGCAGAAAACCTTGAAGACTTGTTGGTATAGTGATTGTACAGTACAACGTACAAGTATGCTCGTGCTTCGAGTCATATCGTATACTAGTGGTATTGTGTCACAGTGGTGGTGGTGGTGTGTGTGTGTGTGTTGACTGTGGTTCTACGTGTACTTGCTATCTTGCTGAATGTCATGGTCGGATTTAGGCAACATGGTGTACGACTTCTTCATTGGTCGCGAGTTGAATCCACGCATTGGCCGAATGTTTGATCTCAAGGTCTTCTGTGAGCTTCGTCCTGGTTTGATAGCTTGGGTAAGTGGCATTGTACCAGGTGTCAGGAATGTCACAACCCTTGCCGATGATGTGATATGCATCCCATGCACTGAGTATACGTCGTACTTAGTTGCATCATCTCATGAAGCATGTCTCTTATCAACACTGCACGTTTGCACCACGCGGTTTCTTTTGCAGGTGGCAATCAACTTCTGCATGGCCTACACCCAGTACGTCAATCATGGCTATGTGTCCAACGCCATGCTCTTGGTCAATGCTTTCCAGTTCCTGTATGTGCTTGATGGCCTTGCTTCAGAGGTTAGTCATGTCACTGGTGATTGTTACTGTGTACTACGTTGCTGGGCACACCAGCCACAAAAGTATGCATATCCTGTGCCGCTTTCACACTATCATCTTGGAAACGAGGTATACAAAATACGGGTATGGGCAAACACAGTATCACCAACTGTAAAGGGGGGGGGGGGCAGAAAGTAGAGGGTCGTCCACGAAAGTCGCATGAACCTACAGCTGGGAACAACGGAGGCCTGTCACGATTTCGCAAGGATAGTTTCCATCCTTTACTACATGAAAGATGAACTCGCGGAGCTGGGTAGTGTCACGTATGTAAAGGTACAAGTAGATCATCACGGCACAAGGTCATTCTGTTTAAGTTATGAGAGCTCTGTATCAAACTGATAAGCATACCATAGTATTCATGCTGTAGCTACTGGTTGGTGGTAAGCAAAGCAGCATACTGGTTTCTATCTCCGAAACAGCACTGATTTGCGGATGGTGCATGTCAAAATCAAACTTCGACGTGTTCGCAAACCATGTATACCGCCCGTGCATATTGCTGTAGTGGATTAGCCATCACTGGTACCTGTACATTGATCTCTATGGACTATACCTCTTTGAGATGGTTGGATTCTCACGGTCATGCACTAAAAAAAAAGAGGGCCCTGCCTAACATAGTCAAGTCAATGTTTGTGTGTTTCTTTTTAGTCGGCTATCCTGACCACGATGGACATCATATCAGATGGATTTGGTTTCATGCTGGCATTCGGTGACCTTGCCTGGGTGCCATTCATCTACACCTTGCAAGCTAGGTATCTGGTTGACCGACCTGAACAACTGCCAACATGGGCGGTGGCGTATCTTGTCGGCCTCAATAGTAAGCTTCGAAACGCTGCCTATCGTCTTTGTTAGAATGAGTTGGATTTGCTCACGATTGTGACTTTTAAGTTTTAACGTTATTGACTTATTGTGTCTCATGGAATGTGCATGGGAAACCTTTAAAAAAAGAAGCTGCTTGTAGTCGGGTATGTGTCTAGTACTGACTTGGGTGACTGGGTGACTTGATTGCTCTTCACTCTGTGGCACAGTGCTTGGATTCTACATCTTCCGCTCTGCTAACTCTCAGAAGGATGAGTTCCGTCGTGCTCCCAATAGCACCGCAGTGAGCCGTAAGTACTATCGTGTACATATCATTAAAAAGTAAATGATATTTCTCCTTGGTCGATTCGCAGTCTGATATGAAATCATGAAAACGTTTAGAAATCCGCAATAGTGGTCATTATCGACGTATACTGGGCGTTCTTTGTCACGTCCTCTTTCATGTCTTCAAAATCCCACCGTGAATGACTATCACCGGGAACTGTCACTTCAGTTGCATTGGGGAGTACACTTCTTTGCTGGAGAGAAAGGCGGCAACCATTCTTGCTTGTGTCAACTTCAGTAAAACCTGTCTAAGGCGACCACTCAAGGGACGAGAAAAAGTGGTCACCTTGGCCAGGCGGTCTTCTTATCCAGTTCAATGGGTCACGTGACCGTATTCACTTATATACATGTGACATCGTTCTGATCAGTGTATCACACTGCACACACCTATGCTACTGCCCACGACTCAAGCGCCTGGGGGCCTCAGAGCTGTCAGGTGTCGTGCATGCACCGTGTACATAATTTCATTGTACATGTACATCTACAGTTCATGCACTGATGTGTAGATCTACCATATGATGCATTATACTCGTATACATGTATGTACCATGCATGGTGCACAGTGCAATGCGTACATGACATACATGACTGTACTAGCAGGGTGCAACGCGGTCGCGAGTGGGTGGTCGTCAGTCGTGTTGAGCGAGAGGTCGCCTTATCCGAGCTGTTTTGAATTTGAATGCGTCCGTGACAAGGAAAAGTGGTCGCCATATCTGAGTGGTCGCCATTTGCAGGTTTTACTGTAATTGGTTTCCATCCTTGTAGTATTGCAGGAATTTGTAGCAACATTATTCTCCAGTTGTCCTCATTTCTGGATGAACTCAGTTGTGGATGAATTTGTCTTGGTTTCCTGTGTCCTAATGCAGATTTGTACAGAATCCCAACTAGCCGTGGTCGATCCTTGCTAGCAGATGGCTGGTGGGGTGTATGTCGCAAGCCAAACTACCTAGGTGACCTCATGATGGCGCTTGCGTGGTGCGGAACGTGTGGTAAGATTGCTGAGGCAACTACTCCTTTGCCTGATGGCAATATCGCAGTGTAGTGGAAATAATTCAGACCCCCATTGCACCGATGCGTGCAGCTGAAACCAAGACGGTGACACTCCACCTGTCTACCATGTTAGCCCAGCATGCATGGCACATGCAGGTTTTACTACACTACATTACTAATTGATTCTGATACTACAGTGCTGGCATATTAGCTACACAATCACTATCCATGCTGCAGAGGTGGACTTACTTGCTTTCCCTTGGTTGCACAAGACCATGGGTGACGTTGTATCATGCTTGTATGCACAAGATCGTGGGTGACGTTGTATCATGCATGTATGCACAAGACCGTGGGTGACGTTGTATCATGCATGTATGCACAAGACCGTGGGTGACGTTGTATCATGCATGTATGCACAAGACCGTGGGTGACGTTGTATCATGCATGTATGCATAAGACCGTGGGTGACGTTGTATCATGCATGCACGTAAGATCATTACGCTCTTTGTCAGGACACCTTTCGGCAAGAGTACATAAACCAGAGTGTGCAACTTGGGATGGTTCCTGTGGGAGCGTAATTCGTGTAGTACGTCATTTCTGACGGCATGGGAAGCCACAGGTACGGTGAAAAGTTGCGTAACCAGTCACGGTGGTGCAGGTCCCTGGGTTTGTCCTGATTTCGGTTTTTTGATACGGATAGCCTGGTGAATTTACTTGTCAATGGATGTACGCAGCGTACACAGTCACACAAAACCACCGAAATCCTGAAACAGGACGTCTAAAATCAAGCAAACTTGGTTGATTTCCAGGCTATGAACCACGAAAATTTGAGCTGTACGCAAGTCGTGGCTTGGCTGATATCATCAGGGTGACGTAGTGCACGAACTGCGCTGTTTCAGATCTGTTATGCACAGCTGCATACTCTGGTTTATGTACTCTTGCTTACGGGTACACGGCCTGTTCGTCCCTTTTGGTATTCAGGCGGAAGTCTTTGCCGATAGCTGCAGCGATGATTGGGGAGACTACCTTCAGGCCAGACAAGGCTTTGTTTGTATAATGCATTTCTCTTTTTACTTCATGCCTTTCTTATTTGACAGGTGTTCAGAATATCATCTGCTATTTCTACTTCATCTACTTTGCCATCTTGCTTATTCACCGTCAGCGACGCGACGACCTGCACTGTGCACGGAAGTATGGAGAGGCGTGGAAGGAGTACACACAACGTGTGCCATATCGTATTGTACCTGGCATCTACTAAATGAGCAAATCCAGTACAGATTAGGAATACATGTTCTATCAATCTATATGCACTGTTCTTTTCGAATAGCCTTCTAACTACAAGCATCAGTGAATGTCAGCTACTTCCCTTTTTTTTAAGAGTGCCCAAACTAGTCTTGATTTTGATCATTTCTTTCTGAACAAAATTCTTTTTTCTCACTTAGTAAATACATGTAGTAGCCATCTTTAGTACTTGTACGATAGGATACACCATCGATCTTTACAATGCACTGGTTTTTACAATGCACTGGTTTTTACTGCATGAATATGAGTATTTTATGCAAAGAAATGGTGTGACCTGGGGTCTAGATTTTACCAGACCTTCGAATGATTTTAGGACTCAACATGCTACGCAGCTGAAACTCTGTTTGTGTTTTTGAAAATATGCTGGATAGGGATCTTACTCGGTTGTGTACATGTTTTGTTTAGATCACTGCGATGGCATGATCAGTATGTTGACCGTTGTATCGTTAATTTACTTGTCTGCTGTGCAAGAGAAAGCCTGTGAGGCCGTGTGGCACTTGCATTGAGATCATGGGATCGAGAGGTTTAACATCATAGCTAATCCAAGCCAGAACTCAGGTATGTCTAGTGAGTCACAGTGCAGTCTCGTTGCGCAATACTCCGCTCACAATGCAGGCAGTCATCTAGTGATGAAAGGCGATTCGGCATAGCCCATTGCTAGGTACAGAAGTCGCTTGTGACTGTGTTCCACGGCTGCTTTTGCCTTCACACATTCGCACTCGGTGGTGACTACAATGATAAAAGGCGCTTTGGCATACAGTAGCTCTTTGCAAGGTACAGAAGTTGCCGGTGACTGTGTTGCCTGTATGCGCTTGCCTCCACATACTTGCACTTGGTGGCGACCATGTGAATATCCTCCAGCAGAGTTATCCTTTCCTACAATGTTTCACTGGGCACATGGCATCGTCCAGAACACTGGTGGCTGGCGTCCAGCAGGCATACAGACGTACAGAACTGCATGCCTGCATTTCCCTAGGTTGTGGAACACACCGGCTGCCATAATAGTGCGGGAGGCAGGATCACTAGTGAGTGATAGCATGCTGAGAACAGCTGCTCAGGCTGCACTGTAGCTGTAGTCACCGTGTTGCTGGGTGTCAGTGGCGATGGCGATCTGAGTGAAACTGCTCCTGCAGCAGCAGTGCTCATGGCCAGCATGCCTCCACAGATTCATTGGTTGAACACCACACGTATCACCCCGGCAGCAGACTAATTCTATGAGATGGGCATCCAAAGAGCTCTCTTGGCATTCACAATCTAGGACATATAGTTCTTAGCCTTGAGAACAGCTTCAGCGTATTCTGCATTGTGATTTTTCTAACTTCTTCAATCGACACGCCTTTGATGCGTGCAATCTCTTCACAGCTGATCTTCAGATTGCACGGCTCGTTTCGACCCTGCTTTTCAGGCCCCAGCGCAGGACTATCTGTCTCCAGAAGTAGCTGATTAAGCGGCACCACATTCACAAGTTTCTGCGTTTGCTCCGAGCGTACAATACTCGGTGGAACTGAGAAGAAATATCCGGCGTCTACACCAGAACGCACAATCGCTGCTCGGCCGTCAAACGCATGAAGCACCACGTCCTTGGCATTGCATTCCTTCAAGAATTCAATCGTCGGCCGTCCCGCAGACCGTGAGTGGACGTTGAGCGGAAGGCCCAACTCCTTGGCCAGTTCCACTTGTGCTTTCAGCACTGCCTTTTGACTGTCCTTCTCTACACTGCTTGAGGCAATGCGTGGCTGGAAGTCTAGACCCACTTCACCAATTCCTACTAATCGTGCACTGTTCGAACGGATTGCTTGAAGCACATTCTCAAGATCTTCCAAGCGTGCACTGCGTTGTTGACCAGTTTCTGCATCACTTTGTACTGGATGCACACCAAGGCAAGGCGCAACGACCAAGCCGCCGCCATAAGGACCACTGTGACCTTCAGCGAATCCCAATACAGCATCGAAGTCAGCAAAACTCTCTGTCACAGCCACTACTGCTGCGACACCAGCATCGCTAGCGCGCTGCAGCACTGCCTCCCTGTCATGATCGAATGCTACATCCGATATGTGACAATGACCATCAATCATCGTTGCAAGTAAGTTTCTCTTGGTTAATTTTCAACAATTCTACAAATCATTCCCCTTGAAGTTAGTTTCTGCAAATGTGACTTGCATGTGGATGGTCACACCAAGCCGGCGAGTCAAGCAGTTATCACGGTGATGGTGTGGCTAGCTCAACTGAGTTGGGGTCCCGGCACTATTCTGCCCCCAATGGTGGCTACTTGCAACGCCACTAGGAAGAAAAGCTAGCTCAGGACAGTAGTACACTGATGTACCACAACCTGCAACTGAAATCGAACATCAACGACATGCACCAACTGCCGGTGCACCGGATTATTTTTGTTTACAAACTACTTTTGTGAAACAACAACAAAAATAATCATGAAGCTCAAAAATGCAAAAGTCCGCGCCGCTGCGCTTTTGACGCCATTTCCTGTTGCCAGGATACGATGCGCATGCGTACCCAAGCCTCCCGTACATCTTCTTGCGCTTCCTCGTCGTCCATTGGTTGTTTTGTTTCCTCCAATCGCCTTCGCCCTAGAGAATCTGCCGGTGAGTTCATTGGTCGAGTTGTGGGATGCCGTCATGGCGCCAATATTAAAACACTTGACATATCTTTCATTGGCTTTTCGCCTTTTCTTTCTTCCCGGTTTCGTAGGGAGTGAGATGGCTGGACATGTATCGTTCAATAGTGGCACGGTGGGTAAATATTTGTGTGGTGCGAGGCCCGGGCAGCTTGCCTTGGTCTTCTCGCGTTGCACACACGTATCTAAAGAATTGACAGCTCATCGCTGTTGCAAGTCCTTCGTTTGGAAAGCCCCGTATTGTATCAACCACTCATATCATCCAGTCGTTTCTGCATCTCTTCATGAGTATTTTTGCAATCATTTTGAGATGGCTAGCACAGCCGTTTTGGAGACGTGGCCAAATGGAAGAAAAGGACTGAACTCACAATATAATTTTTTTGGTATTTCGAATCTGTATAAGTTTCTGTGGTTGGATAAAAATCAAGACAGCGCACACCGATACATGCATCGTTCCAAGTAATAGTTAGTAGGGGTTGAGAAAGACTAAGTGCATGATCAGAAGGGAACGCGTACATTAGTTTTGATGCTCATGGTTATTAATATGGGCCAAATGACATCCGAATACGTCAGTCAGTGCAATGTGCACTACTGTTACACCGTTCCCACGGACTGTCCCTGCGGGAATTTGCGGAAAAAACTCTCGAAAACTTGCGCAAGAAATTGCGGCAGAAAACAACAAAAAATGCGACGAAAAGTGCGGAATGATGCGGAACTTGCCAGGAATTCGCGGAATTATTTACAGAAAATTGCGGATTTGGGCCAAATCACGAAATTTGTTGCATCGTATAATTATCTACTTGGGAGTAGTCCGAGTCGTACTATGCAAAATAACCTACAGGATCATGGAAAGCACTGCGTGAAAAGTGCATAAAAAAGTGAGATAAAGTGCAGAAAACAACAAAAAACGCGGGAAATCGCGGATTTTGCTGAAAATCGCGGGTTTGGGCGAAAATCGCGAAATTTGTTGCATCCGTGGAATCGCGATTTCCTGGAGGGACAGCACAGAATAACGCGGACAAAATCCTAAAATTCTGCGCATAACTATCTGCCCCCCTAGAAAATTGCGGGAAAAATTCCGAAATTTGCGCAAGAAATTGAGGGTGAAAAATGTGGGCCAGATATAGTAAATTTGCGGAAACGGCAGTATCTTGCGATGATAGCCGGCCATAGGTATGGACCACAATACGTGAACGGAGGATCTAGCAAGGAATTTGGAAGCGCGAAGAACTGTGCGATGTCAAAGTTCGGCCCTGGGGACAATAGTTCATAGCCACACGCTCCGCGTACACCAAGTACACTAGCTAAGCGCACAGAACACACCATGCATGAAAGTCTACAGTGTGGGCCATGGCATGGGCTCACGGATTCACTGAAAATTGAGTCAAAATTCCACGGAAAATGCTAGATTTGCGGAAACCCACGAAAATCGCGGAATTTGTCGCAGCTGCGGAATCGCGATTTTCCAAGGGGACATAACTTAACTATGCGAGCGAAAACATGCCATTATGCGGTAAACATGCAGTTTCATGCAAGTAATTTCGTCGGCGAATAATTTCGTCTAACCCCAAAGAAAGGGAGTTCGTCCAGTCAAAAATTTCGTCCATGGATCGTAAAACGTACTGAAACCCTGGACAAAATTTCCACTTGTACAGTATACACCCTTGTCGTACAAACTCGTGCACCGGTACGACATTGTAGTACATTTTCAACATCATGTACATGTACGTACTCTTTCTTGTACATTGCAATGAATAACGCGGGTTTTATGCAAAATCTCTCGAAAACGCGGATGAAAACCAATAACCTGTCCCCACAGGATACATGTACCGCGATTCCGCGGACGCACGATTTCCGCGTTGTTGGCTGTCATTCGCGTTTTCGAGAAATTTTGCGTAAAACCCACGTTATTCATGGGAATGTACAAGAAAATAGTACATGATGTTGAAATTGTACTACAAAGGCGTACCGGTGCATGAGTTTGTACGACAAAGTTGTATACTTGCATTAAACAGCATGCTAAAGTTGTACAAATGACAGAGAACTTGTGCATAATGACCGCATAATCCCGCATATTTGCAGCATAATGGCCTGTTTTCGCCCGCATAATTATGCGCGTAATTTTCGGATTTCGTCCGCGTCCGCAAAATCGCGGTATCCTGTGGGGACAGACTACACTCCTTTATCAAGAGTACATACAGTAGAGTACGTACAGTAGGGTACATACAGTAGAGTACATACAGTAGAGTCGCGCGCCCAAGACCGTTGTTCCTGGGATGTTCTTTTGTTTTCCAGCAATCTGGCTGTGTTCTTATTGCACGTTCTAAGAAACAATCCGTACTGGACCATATGTATCCCACACGCTGCCAGAAAACCAACTCCGCAGTTCTTAATTTTAGGCTGTGGCGTTCTTAGCGCTTCAGGCTGGACGTTCTTGGGCTCCACGTTCTTCAGCGCGTGACTCTACTGTAGCCCCAAGAGTATGCAACTCTGCACATGGGGTCTGGCGCGGCGCACTGCATGCATTACGCAGCCAAGAACTGTGGGCCATTGCGTCATTATCGATCTGCTACAGTTTCCTGCTTCCAAATCCACTTTCCTCGGACACTTCGGATGGGTTTGTATGTGATGCGTCACACAACAGGCATTGCCTTTGAAATTACCGTATTGCACGTGAAATCGTTGAGGCTAAACCGTAAGAAAACTAAAATCCATGCGGCTAGATCATCCTGTCCCCACAGGATACCGCGATTCCACGGACGCTCAATTTTCGGCGTTATTGACTTTGAGTCCTGGGGGTAACAGTCAATTTTTTCTTCAGACTTTTCCCGTTTGCATCTTTCCCTGAAACCAGTGAATATTTTATGACTTAGGGCTCCCCACGTGCTAGTTTGTACGTGAAGTGTGTGGGTTACAGTGAGGGCTGCGTGTTCCGTATTCCCCGGAACCAGGTTGCATCAGTACCGTAACTGTAATACCGACTGCGGATACTTTCCGAACCCACGTTCAACAATGGAGACAAACTTTACTGGTTCGAGTTCTCACTCTCAAAACACCAACTCCATCTTGGATTATCTTGGATGCACTCTAACAATGCCCTAGCAAAACCTATCAAGAACCTAGCTAGAACTGACTGTAGAACAAAGAATACACAGCTACATGTATAAGCAAGCGTCGATGTGTATAGGGAGTACAAGCAACACTGTCAATGGTGAATGCGTGACGTAGTCTAATGAGTACGTGTTGGCGGTCAGACACTTGACCTTATCGTATTATGGTATGAGTCATGCACATGTATGGAGCTTGAGGCAGTCATGCATGGCTACAGGTGTAGTGCTCGATGAATGCACGCAAAGTGCAGTCCTGTAATGTGACCTGTTGAAACCTGAACGGTACCAGGCGTCACCACGACTCCGACATACCTCCCTCGCGAACGAATCATAGCCTAATCAATGTATGCGAGTGAGACAAACTAATATTCCGAGTGATGTTCTAACTCCTGGGGAACTGCTATTGGATGTCACACCTAACATCATTGTGTCAAATGCATGCCGTAATGTCACTAGACATATCCGGGAACGAGGATACGTCTTATCTAGCCGGTTGGATGTATTGTTCACTCTGATTGTGGATTGCTTGCTAACACTACAGTCACAGCCTTACTGCCTCATCGCCACTGCCGTACCACTATTCGCTCAGCTGGTGACATTGTCCACATTGACGTTGGCTGTGGCTGGGCAGTTCTCGGAGTCGAGCTCCACCTCACCCTCTGTTACCTCCAGTGGGATGAGGCGATGAACTGATCGTCGATACTCCTTGCCTTTGATCTTCACGTTGACTGCACGGACGACACCATCTTGCCCTGGGTATGTGGCTGTGACGCGTCCCAGAGGCCATGTCGCGCGCGGAGTACTCTCATCCATGACAAGGAAGACCTCACCCTCCTCGACGTCTTTTGCCTTCCTGTACCACTTGGACCGGACGTTTAGCGCCGGGACCATCTCGCGCAGCCACCTCTTCCAAACTTGCCTTGTCAGCACTTGTAGAAACAGCCAGCGCCGTCTGGGGTGGACCTTCTCCAGATCCTCTCTCTCTACGCCTCGAGGTGTGTGACTGCAGCCGCGCGTCCCATCAGGAAGTGGTTTGGCGTCAACGCTTCTGGATCGTCGCTGTCAGATGATACGGTGGTAAGGGGACGGGAATTCAGCATTGCCTCGGCATGTACCAGCGCTGTTGAGAACTCCTCATCCGTGAGGCCAGCCTGGTGCAGCACATGCCAGAGTGCGCGTTTGACTGCCTTGACCATCGTTTCTACTACACCACCGAAGTGGGGCGTTCTCGGTGGGTTGAAATGCCACTGTACATCTCGCAGCTCGGAGTGGGTGGTTAGGCGGTCTTGATCTATCGTGCAGGTGGCTTCGCGCAGCTGTCGCTCTGCGGCGGTGAAGTTCGACCCGTTGTCTGTCACTATGAACTCCGGGGTTCCACGCCTCTTGCAGAATCGGGTCATCGCCATCAAGAACCCATCTGTGTCGAGCGAGTTGACGGGCTCCAGATGTACCGCTCTGGTCAGCAGGCACGAGAATACGCAGATATACCGCTTCTGCTGCACCTTGCCTCGTCCCTGGCGCGTCAGAAATGGACCGGCAAAGTCGATGGTCACCTTGCTGAAGGCGATAAGTGGTGACGAGGTCCGGTAATCCGGCAACCCTCCCATGATTGGAGTCAAAGCCTTCGCGTAGCCTCGTCGGCACTTGACGCACCTGTGGCGATGCTGTCGCACAACGGACTTCCCGTTTATCAGCCAGTACCGGTTGCTGAGGTTGGCCAGCAGGTGGTTGGGACCCATGGAGTGCTGACATCTCTCGTCTTCGTCATCCACGATCAGGGCTGTGACCCGATGTTTCGGTGGCAGGATGATGGGGTGTCTTGTCGTCAGCGGCAGATGGTGTGCAGTGGTGAGTCTCCCACCGACCGTCAGTACGGTTGTGCCATGTACCTCCTCCAGCTGGGGTCGCAGCTTCAGCAATGGCTCGTTGGGATCGGGTTCCTTGCCGGACTCCAGTCGCTTGATGACCTTGCCATACACCTCCTCCTGGGCCTTCCGTACCCAGAACACGTCGGCCGCCTGGACCTCTGCAGGGGAGAGAGCGGGTACTGTCATACCGTTCACTGACTTGGCAGATCCAAACTTGCGTCGTGGAGCGGGTGTTGGTCTGTTGGCGCCAGCCTCCCTCGGTATACGGACGTTACGTACAAAGCGCTGACACCAAGCGGTGACACGGATGAGCCGCGTCCAAGACGAGAAGTTGGAGGGGTCAAGCTGGTACTTCCCTGGAACCGCGCTGAACGACATAGCGGATCGCTTCTTCAGCTCTGCCGGCAGACTACTGGGAACCTCGATCGGCCGCGCCGGGAATGCACTCTCGGGTCCGCGTAGGAACTTCGGGCCATGCCACCAGTCGTCATCGGATGCGAGCTGGGCTGCAGATAGGCCCCGGGTGCCCTTGTCCGCAGGGTTGATTGATGTCGGAACGTGCCTCCACTGACGGGGGTCCGACAGTGCTTGGATCTTGCTGACCCTGTTGCCCACCTCGACTTTGAAACGGCGGCTGTGTGAGCGAAGCCAGTACAGGACATTGAGGCTATCACTCCAGTACGTGATGTCGGACGAGCTGATGCCGAGGGCTTGGGCGACTTGTTCGGCTACCTCGGCGCCGAGTACAGCTGCTCGTAGCTCAAGCATGGGGATCGACTGTCGGTGTAGCGGGGCTGGTTTAGCCTTGGCCATGCTCGATTAGCTGTTTCACTACCAATTCCGGCCGGCCGAAACGACGCTCCAGTGTCCGGATGGCCTCGTCTACATTGTCTGGCACGGCCAGGAGCAGCTGTACTGCCTCCTGGGCTGGTCCCTTCAGGCAGGTCTGCAGGCGCTGGACGTTCTCTGCGTTTGAGTATGCGCATTGCTCCGTGCTGCTTCGGTACAGCGCGAGGAACGCGGGCCATTCCTCCGGCTTGCCAGGGAAGATTGGCAGCTTGCTGCTGGTGGATGACTGGCGTGCAGCCAGCTGTCTGATGCCAGCGTTACTATTCTCGACCTGGGAGGTCTGCCCTTGACGTAGGGCCTGGGTGATTGCACCTACAAACTCACTGGCCAGGTCTGCCATCTGACGCGCAGGATTGCTGTTAACTGTGCTGCCAGTAATAGTACCGGTAGTAGAGGTACAACCACTCATGTACGCGTCTTCGACCTCACTCGCATTACTTGCTGCGCCCTTACCACCGGTACACGTCTCCGTAGCTCTGGCACTAGAGTATCCACGTGGCCCTGACTCTGAGTCGGAGTCTGAGACTGTCATGTAGCCGCGTGCACGTGCACTCGTGTCGCGACGGTGCTTTCGTGGTGCGGGTACTGGCATGGATGCGTGTGGGTGACTGGGTGACGTAGTGCTCGGGATACCGCTATGCCTTGTGCTTGCGGTCGACTCGCAGCGCTCACGTCTCTCCTCGTGGACCTGTGCAGGCTGTGGTTGCACTACCGGTAAGCCTTGTACTTCTCTAACAGGCTCAGTGACACTACCAGACTTCGGCGCTCGTCGTTGTCTGGCACGGCTTTCTCGTAGGGCATACTCCGCTGCGAATAGCCGCTGCCTCAGCTCTGTCATCGATCGGGCCAGCTCATCGTTGCGTTCTCGTTCTGCCGCAAGATCCCTGGCTTGCTTGTCGCACGCTAGCTCGACCATTGCCCTACTCGCCTCAGCTTCCTCTAGGTTCGTCTGCAGTGCGTAAGCGTCTCGCTGGCGCCGCTTCTCGACGATCGCGGATTCATCGATCATCGTCTGAAGCTGTAGTAGTTGCTGCTGATACGCAACTTCCTTGGCCCGGAACTCACGTTCTACACTGCGTAGACTACTGCCAGTACTGGATCTCGGCAGTTGCTGACGCTCTACGAATGTCCTATCCCAGGGCTCGGGCCCTATTCCCCGCTGAATGGACTCGCTTAGATAGTCAGCGTAAGTGGCATCGGCTACAACAGCAGTGGTGTGTTCAATCGTTCTTTGAAGTACCTGTGTCTGTGCCTGTGCCTGCGGTTCTGGTTGATGAAACGGAGGTTCATTCAGGTGTTCATGAATCGGATCTTGGACTACGCATGGCGGTGCCTGGTAGTGGTAGCTGTGTGCCGGAGTGAATGCACGGACATGCTGGACATCTGAGTCCCTCTCTACATGTGCGTCTATCACTACGTCTACCGGTGGTGGTGTGCTAGCCTGACAGGCCTCTGCATGGTGTAGACCTACTGCTGATTCTGACGTTACGTGCGTAGATCTATGGGAAGCCTCTCCTTCTGATGGCTGAGATTCTACACCGACTACCGTGTGTGACTCTGTTGGTGTTGGAACAGCAACTGAACTAGGTGCAACTACATCATCGTCAAAGTCGATAAGCGACGTATCTTGGGCTGCAACCGCCTCATGCAACTCACCCGCTTCCTGGAAGACTTCTTCTCGCATCACAGGAGAGCTGGAGGTCTCAACGGACCTTTCCCTCAACGTCCCTTCGGCTTCCGACATCGCCTGCTCCGTCAACCGGGCGATTTCCAGCCGCTTTTCCGCCACAGCCTGTTCCGCTTGTAACACGGCTATCCTGGCGCTGAGCCTGTCAGCTGAATTCGCGGTGACGGCTTGGCTCCTACTTTCGGTCATCCTGTCATCTCCACCACTAGCACCAGCGTAGGACTGGGTGTCTGTGTACCCGAGTTTTGGCGCTGCAACGCCTTTCGTCGTGCGCTGACTCCGCCTGAGCTTCTCCATCGTGGACGTGATCCGGCTCGAAGGACCACTATGTTCCGTATTCCCCGGAACCAGGTTGCATCAGTACCGTAACTGTAATACCGACTGCGGATACTTTCCGAACCCACGTTCAACAATGGAGACAAACTTTACTGGTTCGAGTTCTCACTCTCAAAACACCAACTCCATCTTGGATTATCTTGGATGCACTCTAACAATGCCCTAGCAAAACCTATCAAGAACCTAGCTAGAACTGACTGTAGAACAAAGAATACACAGCTACATGTATAAGCAAGCGTCGATGTGTATAGGGAGTACAAGCAACACTGTCAATGGTGAATGCGTGACGTAGTCTAATGAGTACGTGTTGGCGGTCAGACACTTGACCTTATCGTATTATGGTATGAGTCATGCACATGTATGGAGCTTGAGGCAGTCATGCATGGCTACAGGTGTAGTGCTCGATGAATGCACGCAAAGTGCAGTCCTGTAATGTGACCTGTTGAAACCTGAACGGTACCAGGCGTCACCACGACTCCGACACTGCGTCCCACCCGCCTGTGTGGATTCACAGGAAGTATGAGTTACGAAGTCTGAAGAAAATGTTGAACGGTCTCTGCTGGGGTGAAGGCTTGTTTGAAGGATTTATTCTTCATATCGTCCCAATCCACTGGTGCTTGCAGGCTGGGGTGATGTGACTTCCTTATGCAGGATAGAGGAGGATTTTGGAAGTTCGCACACTCATTCCTTCATATTTGTGCGCATGTATTGGTATATAGACATGGACACTTGGAATTTTGAATTTTCAAGCAGGTGCCCACCTGCACCCGGTGAATGACATGTATGGCACTGATACATTTTATATACTGCACGTGGAAGCTCTATTTTTTCCTTTGGTTGTCGGTGTTCTGCAGGCATCTGGATACTCTTCTCACCTAGCCGGAAGTGACCGTGATAGTCATGATGCGACCAGCCTGTTGCTCACTGACCCGCATTCCATGCGTTCCAGCTTGGGTCCATTCGCCACCGTCGGTGAGAGCTCCGTGCAGACGGTAACAATCCCACCGGGTCGAACAAGCCTACAGGATGTCGGCAGTGCAGCTGCAGCGGCTGGTGATCAAGCCACGGCCAGTGCAGCTCAGGTTTCTTCATCTGTAACACCATTGACACAATGCCAAGAAGACTTGCAAGCTTTTTGGCCAAAGGTTAATGAAAAGATGAAGCACCTTGTAAGTACATGATTGTAAACAACTTGTATTGTATTGTATTTATATCATTATCTCATGGCACATCATGATGACGGCCAGTAAAACTGAGACAAGGGTGAAAGCCAACCACAGTTACTTAGCTCATAGCTTGTACCGAGAGTAAATACAACCATTTTAGTGATGTAACGCGTACAAGCAGGATTGAAGCAGGTTTCTTTTTGCACAACTGGAGCTCAGTTATACGCACTACGCACCTTCCCGCCGCATATTTGCACCAAATATATGTAAATCAGGAATTTTGCCATGACAGACACCCATGCAGAAAACTCAGAAGCTGCAGGGTATGGGTTTCATGTACTAGTAGTGGTGTGCACGAGTAGTCGGGTACCCGTGCTACCTGTGAGGACCTCAGGTAGACGGGTACAGAATAGTACCCGAAAACCCGATGTCGCAGATGACATCAAGTACAGTGCACGTATGCATATTCATGGAATACTCCGCATGTCTGCCCAGTGTGTAAGGGAAGGGGTGCATTGTGGTGTTACCGGGGAAACATTACCCGATCGGGTACCCGTGCTACCCGTGGAAAACTATCCGAACCCGATGCCCGAAGAAAATGCTACCCGACTCAGCCCTAGTTTCATGTTCTTTTGCTCGTATTAATGACCATTTGCCATGGTTACCTATTGTTGGGTTCCAATTTTATACGGCGTGTACTTACTGAAAGTCACTTTAAAATTAAAACCAGACATGTAGCAATCCAATACACCCTATCCACTACCCAGCCAGTACTGTACATAAGTCAGGCTTGCTATAGAGCACGCTCTGCAGTCTTTTCTCCATGTCTTTAGTGTCTGATTATGGCTGCCTGACTAAAGAGTGGCTTGGCGAAGCCTGACCAGCCAACGTGTCTGCAACTCTCCTGCCACTAGGCATCAGAGGCAGAGGAGGTTGTGCTGTAATCTCTTGCAATCCCTTGCAATCCCTTGCACTATTCAACTGGGAGTGTGACTACTAACAGTTAGTATTTCGTACAGTGCAACTGACTGCAGGCTTTGTAATCTGCACTGTATGGTTGTAGTACGCTACGATAGGTTATTGGTGATGGGAAAGTCTTTTTCTGCATTGCTTCTCCGTGCTCCGTGCTCCCTCCATGGCTAGACTCAAAGCGACTTCAAAGTTATGGAGCTACCGTTGGCTCGAATCAAAAAGATCATGAAGCAAGACGACGATGTGAAGGTACGATGCCACTTACCAGTATTAAGTGTGAAATTTGCTTCTTCGCCCCACAATATTTTCTATCCCTTCCCTTTCATTATCCTCATTATTTCTCTATCGCCTATCCACACACATGCATGGATCTTTGCAACTACTCTTCTCTCTATGACTCACAAAATGTGTAATTGATGCTTACACATTCTCACTGGGCAGATGCTGCCAGCCTGTCACTGATGCTCACTGATGTTGCTGGTCTTTCTTTTTTTAAGAAATGGGTGAAATGATCTTACTATGTGTGTGTGTGTGTGTGTGTGCGTGCGCGCACGCGCGTGTGTGTGTGTGTGTGTGCGCGCGCATGCGTGCGTGCGTGCGTATATGTGTGTGTGTGTATGTGTGTGTGGTGAACTTCTGGTTTCCCCTTTAGAATCAGATGATCAGTGCTGAGGTGAGTTGTACTTGTGTTTGTGTGAAAGTGTACCTACAAGTATGATCTCGATGTCTATTATTTATTTTGTTGTTGTTGCACTGGCACCTATACTCAATGCCAAGCAATTCTGACATATAAGTGAAGTTGGCTGGCTAGGCCGCGCGGACCAGTGCTCCTTTCAACCGCATGCATTTCGCATTGTCAATTTGAACACGGCACCAGTGCCGAGTGATTTGTCAGCAAGGTTCTGGCATCGACTGCACACTGTACATTGAACATGCGCGAGCAAGTTTTTAATAGTTTGTATCGGGTCACGTATACTGTAGTGACCAATGAAATAATAGTAAGTACTCAGATGGTGAGCCAAGGAAAATATTAAATGGAAAAAAGTTTCCATTTAATGAAATATTTTTGTATATATTTTGTTTCCATTTAATGAAATATAGAGCAATCTTTGGGTACGGTGTCTGATACATTGCAGCCTTGTGTGTGTGTGTGTGTGCGTGTGTGTGTGTGTGTGCCATGATTGCACGAAAATGGTGGCGCTGCTCTGGAGGAAATTCTGTATTTCATTGGCCTCTGCTGTACTTCAGAAGTACTGGTACATAACCTTGGAATTCAACGTCAAAAGTTCAAAACTGCCATTGTGTAAATGTGCATTTGCCTGTCTCAGTGATCTAGTTTGCTGCGTGTTGTGTTACAGGTTCCCATGTTGTTTTCC